CGCAGTTTCATCACTATTAAATACGCGACTTGGATCACTTAGAACAGCCATCAAATTCGTATCGGATAGCCGAGTTCTGGTCTGCTCGAAATACGACTGACAATGAATGTCGTTCCTCGAGAGGCAGGCTTGAGCATTGGAGACATGTTCGGGTGTTCTCCGAACTAGTTCGCTGTGACGCTTACAGAAGGACCGAACCCATTTCTCAGCAGAAGTGACCTTAGAGGCTCGCTCGTTTCCTTGCTTGTGTGCCACTTTTGCCAGTTTCAGTCCGACTTGTTGAAGGGCATTGCGAGTAACGGGAAATACCATTCTGGCCATCTTCTTAATCCAGTCAACTAAAGCCTCCTCAGACTCCTCAGTTTCACCCAAGACGGGGCGAGGACCAGGTCGCCGCCGTCGAGGTTCGTCGTTACGATTTTTTCTCAACAATGTGGACGGCGGAATGCAGTACTGCCCCGCCGCTGCCCTCAGGGGAGTGCCCCTTCTGAGGGATGATATGGCCTTCTCTAAATCGGCATCGGTGTATTGAGCTCCCTGTAATCCGAAATGTAGCATATTCTTCATTTGAACAAGACCCTTTTCGGGAAATGCGGGTTTGACGAAAGTTCATACCAGTCGGCTTACCGCAGGCATCTTGCATCCGAACGCGCTCGAAGTCCACGTCGGTTTGTACTTATGGGATCAATTCGCGTACTCGATCAGGTGCGACATTTGGGTTCAAAAATGTGTATTGAAGTGGTATTTTTGACATTCACACGATATTACGTGTGATGTCGGGTCACAGAGCTATTCAGTGACCAGAGGAGCGGAACCTTCGTCGTTTCACTCCTAAACATCATTTTCCGAAGTCATCTCGTCCTCTCATTGGGCATCATAAGGAAGTCCTCAATAAACGTTCTGCGTTCTCGCCAATATCCGGCGGTGTTCAAAAACTGGTCAGTCCTCATAGGACTCGGGACCAATCAGAGTACACCGCCTCTCCTCTTTCCCAAACGGCATATCGGACATTTCTCATGGGGCACTTGGAGCTACTTGACCATGGTTCTGCGACCCAATGCAATAATTCTGATATCCTAATCGATCGACTACTGTCGAGACAGTTGCGATCTCGATCAATGTTATCACTATTCTTAGCGGAATCTTAATTTTTTCGGAGATCTGGCATCGAAAATATTCAGATTCTCCGTAACGGAAGGAGGGTCGCTCCAACGAACTTTCCGGTCAGCGGACCGATAGCCAGGGTTACGGATAGACCACGACATCGCTCGAACTTCACATTCACGGAGAGTAAGCTCAAGAATTACCGAAAAACCGACGAGTGTTGCATAGGTTAGGTCCCAGTAAGCCGAAACCTTCACGCCGAAACCCAGAAAGCCGAAACCCATCACGCCGAAAGTCAAGAAAGCCGAAACCCAGTACGCCGAAAATCGAAAGAGCCGAAACCCAGTACGCCGAAACCCAGTACGCCGAAAATTAAAAGCGTCGATATCCAGGACACCGGAAGTCGTCGATCGAATCGACCCTGATTCCGCTGAGTGTTCTTCCTCTTCGAAAGAATCGGCAAACCCAGCTCGAAGATTTCAAACTCTATTTCATAAACAAGTGGATGGAAAATGAGACCGTCTTCCCGCGCCGAGTGTGGAACCACTACCACAATTCTGGAGCGCGCACAACAAACCATCTCGAAGGATGGCATCAAGCTCTAAATAGAATAATCAAGAAGAGCCATGTCAATCTTTATGAGATGATCAAACATCTCCAAGGACAGGAGGAGAAGTTCAGGCTGGACATGATGCGATTACGAATGGGACAACGCCCCCCTCCACTCACCAAGCAATATCGAGTGCTGAACGATAGGCTCATAAGACTGACGGCGGAATTCGAGTCGGAAGAGATATCTCTTATCGACTACATACATGAAGTTGCACAGAGCTTCCCGCAATTGTAGGGAGACCTTTTCGAGGAGGAGTTTTGAGGAGGTAATTGTACGAGGAAGGTTTTTCATTTGTCGGAACCTTCCGCAGTTGTGAAGATAAGATTAAAGGAATGCCTAGTCGAAGAGGACATTGTGAAAAGAAGGTAGTCGTATCCTTCGGAACCTCTCGCGATCACGGAGATGAGTTTGGAAAGAGAACTGAATCTCGAAGAAAAAGCTTTTTGTATTCCTTCGGAACGTGTGATCGGTATTTCCGCCAGAAGGAATTTTCGGCGTACTGGGTTTCGGCTAACTCAACTTTCGGCGTACTGGGTTTCGGGTGGACGAATTTCGGCGTTCTGGGTTTCGGCGTTCCAGGTTTCGGCTTTCTGGGTTTCGGCGTGAAGGTTTCGGCTTACTGGGTCTATACCGTTGCATAATGGGTACTCATCCCGTGAGTGGTACGCTTACCCTAGTTTCCGCTTTTCGATTTCATCGCCGTCTCGTGCCGCTGCACTGTGCCAGCTGGCAGGGAGATGACGCCCCCAAGATCCTTTCGGAATTTCCGTCGCTTCGCATTCATAGTTTCTTTTCACAGCGAGCCATGAAACCTTGCATCTGTATCGAGGGCATATTGTGAGCAAGTTTGGAACCCAAGGACCCCCAGGGGCCAGCAAAGTTTGGGGCGACTCGCTCCCGAGCTGAATGAAATTCGAATCGGTTTTATTTTCTTGGAAGGGAGTCGTCGGAGAGCTTCTCCGGTTCGTTAGGGTGAGAGGTCTCTGAGGATGATTCTCGATTCACTTCACGCTCAGAATCTCTAGAATCCGAGACCCGGGGACCGGGCTCGGGATTGAGATTTGCTTCTGTCTATGAGCGGAGGCGTTCTGATGCGCAATTGATTTCAAGGGCACACGGTTCATCATTTGGCATTGAGCGCTGACGGCCACGGTCGATATACAATACGAGGGAGTCGATGTTCGACAAGGAGTTGCACGAGGCAGGGGTGAACTCTTCGAGAATGGACGAGCCTGGGGAGATGAGGGAGTTGTACATAACCACGGCAAGTTAGCAGTGGTGGAAGAATGAGGACCCACTAACACTGCGGTGGGCGTTTGCGATCCAACGCTCGTTCATGTCCCTGTGGTCTGGACGAGTCGATGGGATACTCGGCTTTTGACGTTGCATTCGAATCGACGTGTTCTTGCATCCTTCCGCTAATTCTTTGAAATTCTCGCCAATCTGACGCCTGTTCCATCTGTAATGCCAAGGCGACAGGTTCTCTCATGACGTGCTCTAGTGGGTGTGGCGCGTTCGCCCATATCAAATGCACGGAGAAGGACTCGTCTGACTTGCTTTGGTCCTGCTCTGCCTGCCGGAAGAAGCCTCCGACCGTAGGCTCTGCCCTCCAGAGATGACCTACTTTTACGCAAATTGTTGTCTCAAAAACCACCTCCGTAATCTAATCGCACATCCTGCTGTGCTGGACAGCGCTCTTGGTCAAAAATCTATTCTAGGATGGACAAAATTATTCAGTCGTTTTTCGCCCATTCCTCGGAAATAAAAATTGTACTCTACTCGAAACCTTGAAAATAAGTGCTGGACGACCTGTGTGAAGAACGCACCGACCCGAAAAAAGGCGATTTGTATCGATACGACCGAGGGAAAATTCATTCGTGGCCGCTGATCGGCGAAAACCTAGATTGCTCGTTTGGGACTTCTGCCCGGCTTGCCCCAAGATTTTTTTTGAAGCTCCCAAAGACCTCCGCTTTCCGAAGAGCATCTCGGATTTTTGCGCTTTTTCGCGCTAAGGGCTTTTCAAGAAAATACTTTCAGATTTTGACTTACATTGGCCTTCATCGAAGAAGTCGAACTGGAGCCGAACATGCGCTGGCCCAGCTTGTTGTTTCCTCTCTATTACTGCTCGGGCGCGGGCTTCGGGGGCGAACCAAGTCATCTCGGCGATCCACCCAGACTTCCAAGAGTAATTATATCTATAGTTATGTTTCCAGCATAACCGCCGAAAAGCGATCCCTCGAGAGCCAGCAAACGACGTTCCGAGTCTGACTCACAGGCAAGCTCGTGTGGTCTGCACTTCTGTAGGAAGTCAAACAGGGAACCACTTGCATAGGAATCACCCTTCGTTGTTCGCTCACGGGCTGAGTTTCACGGTGCATAGAGACTTTGAGGAGGGCGAAGTGACGGCAATGTAGGAGGTGATCGAGACTCGAGACCATTGTCATAACCCGGAGAGATTCGTGGAGGAATAACTTCGAAGACAGAAAACGGACGAGGAAGGCTGGCCTGATCGACTTCCTGCTCTCATCCCAAAACTTGCATCGATCGAGCGTCCAAAATTTGCCTCAGTATTGTAGAAGATCGAGTCCGTTGCGCAGGCGCGACTTTCTCCTCTTCTCTGTATAAACTTGAACCGTCACTCTTGCTCTTAACCTCCACCGAGATCGACGTGTGTTCAATCGCTTCGTAGATTTATCAGGTTATGGGCCCAGTTTTAGCATCGAAACTGTGTAAAACCTTGAAGACTGTCTCAATAACACAACGGTGATCGCTTCTTGACCATCGGTGACTCCGAAAGACACACCGCGAACTTCTGCGGCGGAACTACGACTTGGTCTCAGACGAAGATGGCAACGAGAACGGCGACAAAGGGGCCTCTCAGCCAGGGTCGGAATATCAACGCAACACTTGTGCCGACCAAAAGATCTGCTCCTGGTGGGTCCTTCCCGAGGGAGGGACGAAGGACGTCGCCCTGCACATCGGCGTCTATAGAAAGAACCTAGAATTACGCCGGTGAATGTCAATGTTGATCGTGATTGGAGAAACAAGGGAGGCGCATCGAATAATCCGACTGGCGATTCGCAACGGGAGCCCATCTTTATAACTGCGACCTATGGGATTTTGTCCACGGCGGCAAACAAGACGACAGGCAGGACAAGCGAGCACCCGGAGCAATAATATCGGGCGTCAAGAGTCAGCTCTTCTCAATTATTCGAGACTGTTCTTCGGGAAGAGGGCTATCGACTGCGAAGTCAAAGACAGACTTCTCGCGGGGTCAATCCTGATGGAGCTTCCTGAAGAGTACACCCCATTAATTCAAAGTCTCACCCCTGGTGAATGGTTCGTGGACTCCGGAGCGACTGCCCATAAGTCTGACGATAGGAACGTTTTCATCTCTTTTCACTTAGGAACGATGGCCGCAAACGGTTCGTGGCTACGACCAACGACGACATCTTGGGTTCCGGAGGAGTCGGCGACGTCATGTTAGTATGTAAAAAAGGCGGAATTGCACAGAGAACGCGTTTGACGGTCGTCTTGTACGTTCCTGGTATCTCCGTGAATCTCATATCCGTGCGACAGCTCACCGAGAAAGGTTTCAGAGTCGAGCTCAAAGACTGGTGCGAGGTGAAAGACCAAAACGGAAAGGTGTTCCGTGGCTTCTCCCTCGGTCAACAGTTTGTACCGGCTCGAAGATTGTACTGGCAGTGTCCTTGCTACGTCGACGGAGAAGAAGAGTCGAGAAGGTCGAGAAACCGAAAAGGACTCAGTGTGACGCTTCGGATGAATTCCATCAAGTCGTTTGTTAGTTCGACGGTGCAGACGTACCAAGGGGCTCGGGGAGCCGTCGAGTCTGAGTCGACAGAGCGGACTAATCCTATCAGGCCCGAAACCCAGGCCATACTGCAGGAGAGTCCAGGAGCTCTCACGAGTTCAGCAGAGAGTGAGGACGGGAATCCGGGGGCTAAGAGAGCCGCGGGTAACCCGGAGCGTGGAGGGCCAAAGCGGCCGGCTCGCGATGGAAAGGGCGAGTTGTTGACGGTCGAGGTAGGTCCGGCGCCGGCGACTGAGAGAGTCCGGCGAGACTCGGTGATGGTTGGGGAGACTCCGGTGGAAAAGAGAGCCTGGAAAGAGTCGAGCGAATCGATCCGGTGGGGGGGGGGTCCGACGCCTCGCACAGTTCAGAGTGATTACGAGCTTTGGTATCAGAGATTGAGCCATCTCAATCCAAAAGCAATGGAAAGGTTGTCCGACGGACTCGTTGATGGCTTATCAGTTCGCATTCCGCGTTCGAAAGTGAGAGAAATTCAGACAGATTCGGGCTGTTGAGCGAAGCCGCTCTGGAGAATTCGAGAGGAACTTATGGCTGTCTAAGTGAGGAGAAGGCGTACAGAGCTTACGGAATCTGGATGGCTGGGCAGGGTGGCCACGGAAAGTCGACGGAACGGGCGGCGAGGCAGGCCAAACGTGTTTCGTAGTGAAAATTATTTCTGTATTTCATGTCTCGATCAGCTCTATCCATATACATAGATGCATCGCTGCTGGCGGGCCGCATTCTGGGCACCACTGGTCCACTGAGATTCTGATTTTCCTCCCTTCCGGTGTTAGCTGAACTTTCTTCCCCCATGTGAGATATTCTAGGAGGCATCGCCATGGAAGCGAGCAGGAGGCGCTAATGAGCAGAGCGAGGGGTCTCAGGACCTCTAACGTCAAACACCCACAATCCAGTGCTGAGACATGAAGGCTGCGATGCCGAGACAGAAGAGATCCATAGAGCGACTATTCCATCTCAAAGCTGGACTTGCTTCGCCCCTTTGGGATAACGTCTACATAACCAATGCCGATGCTGAACGTTATTTTCAAATATGTGAGGTTTTTATCTGCACAAAATAGGCTCTCGTATTTTGTGGAGTAGCATCGACGACCTGCGGCCCGACGCGCGGGTTTCTAAACGAGTGATCGACCGCAGCACATCAACATCGAATAGGGGGGAATCCGCGAACTGGGAGTTATCAGATCATGAGAGGAAAGAAAGCTCTGCATTTATTTCAAGCCCCTGGAGAGCTCCCTTGATATGGCGTATGACTCTGGAATCTAGAGCCACGATTTGCTTGGCAAACTTTCCTGAGCTTGAGCTCGATTGGATCCCCAATTTGTGCCTCGAAAGCTCCGACACGACGCTTCCTCGCTCCCCTTCGGGGATTCCGATGGTTCCGAGTGCTGACGGCATTATATAATGTGAGGGTATATAAGAGAGCACGATTCAGTAGAATAAACAATTGGAGATAACGAAGAGTCTTTACTGGCGCAGTCGATTTGGAGAATGGCTAGGTCACCGTCCGGATCTATGCCTACAGATCTGTGAGTCACGCAGATTCATTCATGGAGAGTTGTTGGAGAACTTCATCATTCAAGGATCCCGTCTCTGTCCGAGACAAGGCACTGCTCAAAGCTGCGAGTCGCTCAGTCTGGCACCGTAGAAATTGAGTGCTGGTGTAGGACGTCAAGAAAATCGGAGGCCGGAATAACCTTACACTACAGTCCGAGTGGGGTCCCCCTTCGAGATTCTCGGCCCCGTTGGATTGAAGTTTTCCAAGAAGTGTCCGAATGATTCCCATTTTACGCTCAATCCCAGGAGGGATTGGATCAAAAGTCCGGGGGTGTGAGGGTATATAAGAGAGCACGATTCAGTAGAATAAACAATTGGAGATAACGAAGAGTCTTTACTTATAATATGTACATGTTCATAATCCCTCTATGGCTGAGGGGAGCATTGGTAAGTACATGAACTTGATAACTTCGGTCTCTTCCGAAAAATTTGATGCTCTGGAACGAGCGTTCCAATGCCTCTGGTCTTCGAGAACAAATAGAAATGGCGGCATGTATGGGGGAATTCAGGGATAGTCAAAAGCTGGAGGAAACACTCGGAATAGGCGATTCCAGGTATTCCGGGCATTCTGTCTGAAATCCCTGGCTCTACAGTAATGGGCATCAGCAAAGCCGTCGAGCTCGCAAAAGACGTCTCAGCGGCGCTTAGAACCTATCGATCACACGGTCTCACTCAGTCTGCCGAATCGCATCCACAAACTGTGAATGAGTGGATGCACCGTTGTGGAAGCGGTGATCGCGCCCCTCCTTAAGGTTCGCTTGCACTTTCAGACTCCTGGCGCCTAGCTTTCGTTTTTTTTGCAGGATTTGTCATGGCGCCACGATCCAGGATCGTCTCACGACACAAAACGTCGTTCGAGGCTTACCGCATGGGAGCGGATTAGATTGGTAGTTCCACACCTGAAATATTAGGAATCTGACAACAAATGGACGATAATACACACATGTGGCCGACATGTGTGCGCCGTGCTCTTAGTGTTTACCTGTACTTCCGGAAGCATCTCTTAGAAATAGTGTCGCCTCCGCCGAATTGAGTGGATGACTGAGAGAAACCACTCGAGAACTACACCAATTAGGGAGAGTCGTTAGATGATACGAGAGTAACTCGTAGAAGCAGCTCGCTACAAGCAAACGAAAATTGTCTCCTTCTGGAGAAGCTCCCAGCTGGAGCGAGTTTAGCGAGCTGAACTCGAGAAACGATCCATCAGGCGACCGCGACCCTTAATGCCGTCCCGAAGCGACTCTAAAGCGAGACTGCTTCCACGCACAGGCGAGATGGTTGCTCTAGCGCTTACTTCTCCCTATAGATCTAGACTGCCGCCGACTCGACCCGTCCCGCCTCGCAGTTCGCCTTCCCCGACACTCGGCGTAAGGACACAATCAGGCTGCTGAGACGCCATTTCAATGACTAATTGAGGGGGACGAAGCTCTTCTTCTAGCTTGACGGGGAGAAGTCGATTCTGGGATACGAATTCGGTCAATTTTCAGGGGGAAATTCCCCGTGGCTACAGCAACTTGTTACACAAACTGTGAAGCGTGCTCCACTAGCTTCATTCACTAGAGACAAAGAACTCCTCTGTTTCGGTATTCCGCCTCGGATCGAGATGAGTCTGCGTCACACCTAGGGATCCCGAGCCCAGCGTCAGGCGGTGATACTTCCCTGTAGATCACATGGTCATACACAAGGAAAGCTCCTCACCTCGCGGGACCTAGAAAATACGAAGGAACCTCGCCACAATGAATGAAACAGAATATTTTCGCTGTGATGAATGCTCGTTGTAAGGGATGATTCCCATCATTCTCTTTATGCCAAGCCAGCCAAGGGGAGGGCAAGAAAGGATTCGTTCTACTGAAAACTCGCTGTAACGGTGTTCGTCGCTACATGTTTGTTGTGAGGAAAGTTCGCTGCTGTTTTCCATAATCGTCTCTATGGTAAGCCAGCCAGACCGACGGGCAAAAAAGTGTTCCTTCTACTGAAAACTCGTTGTAACGATGTTCGTTGTAACGGGATATCACTGTACGTTTCTTGTAATGGAAGTTCGCTGCAACGCTTTTTTTCCACAATCGTCTCTATGGCAAGCCAGCCAAACGGAGGGCAAAAAAGTGTTCGTTCTACGGAAAATTCGTTGTAACGGTGTTCGTTGTAACGAGATTTTACTGTAGTATTCCTGAGAGACATTGACGGCATGACGAGTCCGATTGGGTCAACTGCGACGAAAAACGCGTATCGAAAGGGAACCACGATGCATGCTCGTGAAGCCGCTCTTGGGCATGGAAATGAGCATGAGAGAATATAACTGATGACTGATGACTCACTCACGATGATACGCTCTGACGGGATCGGAGGAAGACGCAAGCTTGACTTTTTTCGACTTGCTGAGAGCTTCGATCTCTCGATTTTGCGGAGTCCCTTAGATGGAATGACTGAGATCACGGAGAGTGAGATGAAAGACTCCAGTTTTTGACGGAAGCTCCTCAAGATTGCGGTCCCATCAGACCGTATCATCATGAGTAACTCATTGATTACGTTCTCTGATCCTCGTTCGCCCCCTCCGTATAGCGGCGCGGCTCTTAATTTGAGCGACAATAATCATGTTCCCGCTCCCATTCCACTCAGGATAGGAAACAAATCCTAATCTGGAGCGGCTGAAGGAATGACTTGAGCCCAGATCTTAGGCGAGCATTCTCGAGTCCACATCATTACGGTAGTCTATGATTCCCTTCGAGTTCGCGGGCTGTCCCAAAGGCGTAAGTCAGGGCCCTCGAGGGATCAATTTTGATGCTCATGAATCATGAGATTCCTTCCCCTTTGTTTTTCTGGAGGTAAGTCGTTCTCCTCCGTAATGAGCGGTCCTCGCAAGGCGATAGCCGAACATGATTGTCCGAAACGGATCGAATCTAGAGGACCCTAATGCCATCTTCCGGCAATCGTCGTAAAACAGCAGTTCTGAGACACTCGATCGGGGAAGTTTTGAGGAATCTCGCGAAAAGAGACCTACACTCTCGGAGTCAGTGGCGCAACTTGATTACGTGGCGGCCCCTCATTTGGACTGAGTCTAGAATGCCTCGTATTCTCCGAAATAAAGACGGAAAGATTTGCTCTCGGGCAGAAAGAGAACTGTAAAATGCGAGGGTGATGCGTGCGGAGAACCAACAGTCGACCGAAGAACAGCAAGATCGACACGGTAGCCCCGAACTGAATACATCGGGCTTTATTGCTGTTGCTCAACTGACAGCGAGAGCTCTTGCTTGTCCGTAGCGAGCTTTGATTTACGACAAAAAACCGAAGATGTCAATTTATAACTCCTCGCAGAGTGTGAGCGAGTGCTCCGGCGGAAAGCGGAGAATGAATGAATATCGATCGTCAGACAATCAGTTTTCAGGTGCTTCTCAAAACTAGGCGAGCCGTCGCTGGAAATCTCATCCAATTTCCTCCTGCGACCGTGCCTCGAGTGCAGCCTCAGGCGGAACACCAGTTCACAAGCTTGGTTTAGTCTGAGATCCGGGTCCGATGTCGGGAGGCTCCAACTGCACTCTTAAACTTCGAGTAACACG